GTCTCAACAATAAATCCCAGGTACCAAGGGGGAGAGCACAGGTGCCCAGGTGTGGCTGGCAGGCAGGGGTGGCAAAGGGGTCCCAGCTGTGTCCCTTCCATTGCTACTTGGCTCTGGGCCCCTCTCCCCGCATGCACCATGCCCTTGCTGCCAACCTGACTGTCTTCACAGGAGGAGAGAGCGTTGCTCCAAGAAGGCTTCCTGGAGAAAGCCGGCCACATGCAGGGGGTGATCCATAGGCTGGAGAAGGAAAACCGCAGCTCCTGGGAGAAGGCCATGCCCTGGATAGAGCTAGGGGTCAATGCCCTGATTAATGTGGGGTTTGGCACACTTCACCTTTTGAAAGCACTAAGAAAACCTTTATAAGCCCCATCGTAACAAAGCACAAGAGTGGTGCAGTGTCCCAGCAGTACAATGCTCTGAAACTGGGAAAGCCCTTCCTGCAAGACGCTTGCCACAGAGTATGGTGGTGACCTCCATGGTCACTTTTATCAATGTATGTAGTGCTTTCATGCACATCTCTTCCAGGAGAAGATGTCCCCCTCTTCCTTCCCAGAGAACCCGGTCTCGCCGGGGGGGGCGCTGCAGCACAGAAAGGCCATAATGCCAGCAGCCAGGTCTGAGAGCATTTTCCCATGCTCCAAATGTGTCATTGGGGGACCTAACCCACCTCTTCCAGAGAATTCCTCACCAGGGTTGTGGTACTTCTTGGGGCTGGGATAGAGTGAATCCCCAGCAGGCTGGGAGTGGACAAGGATCTGGGGGCAGGGCACAGAGCTGGGCCGGCAGATCCTGAAGGACCCAGTTGATAGCCCAGATCATGTAAGACCGTGCTCAAGCAATAAAAGCTGGGGGAAGAGGGAGGAAGGGGGGGACGTCTGGAGCGATGGCGTTTGTCTGCCCAAGCCACTGCTACATGTGATGGAGCCCTGCTTTCCTGGAGACGGCTGAACACTCGCCTGCCCATGGCAAGCAGGGAACAAATTCCTTGCTTTGCTTTGCTTGCTTGTGTGTGGCTTCTGTTTTCCTAATAAACTGTCTTCATCTTGACCCACGTGTTGTCTCCCTTTGACCCTTCCCTCCTCCATTCCCCAAGATGATGTGGGGCTTCGCTGCCTACCGGGGTCAGGCCACAACACAAAGGGGTTTCCCTCTTCCCTGCAGCAACTTCAATCTTCAGCTGCACCACAAGGAGAAGCGGGGACGCTGACCCTTCCAGCCACGTGAAGGTGTAGAGGCTTTGGAGTTCTTGCTGGGGGGAGGGACTAGCCCAAAGGCATTGTTGTGAGAAATGCTGATTTAGGATCCTACCAAGTACACCAATTTGGTAGATTTACACACTTGGAAAGTTGTGTTTGAAAGATTCACAGGGAGAAAGAGGATGCAGGGGATGAGGAGGACCCTCCAAAGCAGACCCCTTGATTTCCGAACTCCTTTTCAGAGAGGAGTCTCAGTGAGGCCAGGTCCGATTTTAGTCCCAGGATCGGACTACAGTTCAGTGCAGTGCTCACATCAAAGGTCTTGGCGTTTCTCAGCAGGCAAGGGTTGAGCCTCCAGGACTGAAGAGTTTCAGCCCAGGCTCCACTGTTGGTCTTTGGCGATGGACCTCCAATTTTAGCAAACTGAAGTGTTTGCTGGCTCTGAGACGCATCGCACTCGGAAGGAGAACAGCCCGCTGTGGTCCTGGATAGCTCAAAGGGCCTCCCTTAGGACCCCTCTTTTACAGGACCATGCAATGATTGGCTTTAGTCATCAGTAAATTTCCAGTCAGCACCACAGTCTGGGTCAGTAATCACTGAGATTCCACTAAAGATGGTATTGTGCCAGTTGGGCTACGATTCCGAGAAGGCATGTTCCCAGGCTGTCAGGGGATAACTCATTCTCCCCGTTCTCACTCCCCACCTCAGCCATGTAAGAGTTTCTGGCACAGACAGTGCCACCCAATCACCCACCTCTTTAGAATAGAATCATGGAATCATAGAATCGTCTAGGTTGGAAAAGACTTTTAAGACCATCAAGTCCAACCGTTAACCTAACCCTGCCATCCCACCACTAACTAAACCATGTCCCTAAGCACCTCATCTATCCTTCTTTCAAATACCTCCATTGATGGGGACTTGACCCCTTCTCTGGGCAGACCAGTCCAGAGCCTGACAACCCTTTCGGTGAAGAAGTTTTTCCTAATGTCTAACCTAAACCTGCCCTGGTGCAACTTCAGACCATTTCCCCT